AGCCCCCCCACCAGGCTCCCCCTCCACCCCCACACCTCACCCTTACTGCGACCCTCAACTCCATCCCTTTAGCAGACCCTCTCCCCATTCTGCTAACCCTTTCCCCAGCCCGCTGGTGCAGACCCTTCCCCTGCCTGTAGACCCCAGCCCCAACTGGGACACTCTCCTAGACCTCAGTCCACGCCCCCACCCTGCAGACCCGCAGGCCCTGTGTCAGCACCTTGCTCCTGACCCCTCCCGCCGCGCTCAGTGCCCTCCCTCCTCTGGCTCCAAACCCTCCTGGCTCCCTATGGCCCCTAGGACATTGTTCACGCCCAGCAGAAAGCATCTAAGAAGGCGTCATCTGCTTGCCCACCCCTCCCCCGTCCCTAACCTGTGCTATACTTGTCTGTTTGCACACATCCCCAGCCTTTGAACACTTCCCTGTCTCTACTGATTGTTCCAGGACGCTTGTAGACCCGTCCTCTGCCTGTCCTCTGGTGGACCCCTGTCATCACCGAGGTGCCACCTCCTCTCAGCCCCTAGAGCAGGACGCCTTGGCCTCCTCCGATAACCTTCAGGGCCACCTCCCGAGCTCTCAGACTCCTCTCCCAGGCCCAGAGGTATCCTCACAGGCCTTTTCCTCCCGGTGCACACCCCACTCCAGTCCTAAAACCGTGCCCCCAGCCCTCAGATTTCTGTAGACCCCTTTCAGCCATCAGACTCCCTTGGACCCCTGACCCTCTGCTGTGTAGCCCTCCCACATCTCACCCCTTTGCTTGTTCAGACGCCTCCCTTCCCCTCTGACCCCTCCTGAGTCTCCTCCCCATCTAGACTCTCCCTGTTTCATTGCTTTACTCCCCCAGAGATCCATCCTTCATGTCCTCCTCCCTCATGGGACCCCCTAGCTGACCCTTGCCTGGGAGCTGACGAGTTGCAGTCCACAGATGCCCTCGCTGCCCTCTGGCTTGCCGGTGGAGCTGGGCTCCGTTGGTGATCCTGACTCCCAGGTGGGCCGTCTGCATCGCCTGGCGATGGCCAGGGGCCCAGGCTGGGGCCTGGCCAAGCTCCTCCGGAGAGGTGAGGGCCTGGCTGCTGGGACCACCTCTGGGGGCATGATCAAGGGGCAGGATGGGTGCAGCTTCAGTTGGCCAGTCAACAGCTGTGTACTGGGCACCTACTGAACGCTGGGCTCTGTGGTCTGACATGGGGGTTAAAGGGTGACCAAGATGGCCGGGTCATTGGGAGTGAAATCTACAGTAGCAGGGAGGTATAGCAGCCACGAGGAGGAGGCACAGTGGACAGGGCTACTTTTCAGACTCCACCAGACTAGAGTCCCTCAGTGTAACAGCCAGTCATGTAAAAAGCTCGAGGAGGAGACCCTGGCAAGATGGAATGGTCAGTGCAGATGGACTGAAGTCAGAATGAACTGCTGGACAGGGAGTAGCAGGACTGTGAGAGGACTGAGGCTGAGTAGGCAGAGGGTCAGACCGTAACGGCCCCCAGAAAGAATGTGAATGTTGTTGGATTTTGTTCTGTGTGTAGTAGAAAAACCAGTGGAGTGGGGAGCAGGAAATTAACATTACAATTAACATGTAATTAACAATTTGCTTTTCACTGTCTATTGTCTATCTGGCTACTTTGTAAACTTGTTTAATAGCTGTGTTTGTGAATCTTTTTTTTTTTTTTTGAGAGAGAGATTTTTGCTAAAGGGTGTATGCACTAGCTGGAGAGACAGAGACAGAGAGACAGAAATTGAGAAATCACCCCCCCAGGAGGGATGGCTATGCCACAATCCCTTCTCCTCCATTCTCCTCTTGGGATTTTGGGCACGTACACACACATGACTGGTGTGCGTTTCAAACCTCTGGGTCTCAGACTTGAACCGTGGTCAACCAGGTGGGAGTAATATAACCGTTATGTGATCTGCTGGTCTAGTTTGTGACTCCTTTAGCTGAAAAAAAAAAAAAAAAAAATTTTCCCTGGGACCAACTGGTGGAGTGGTGGTTAAGGTGGCAGAATTTTTGAGTCCCAGACCTAGAGGCCTGGAAAAACACGCCAGGCGCATGTGCCTATGTGCCCCAAATCCTGAGAAGAATGGAGAAGGGCTTGCAGTGTGGCCATTCTTCCTGGGAGGTGCTTTCTTACTTTCCCTTTGTCTCTTTCCTGTGAGTGAGCAAGCACACACTCTGTAGCAAAATTAAAATTTTTTTTCTTTTGTTTATTCATGAGAAAGCATGTATATACACACATGAGAGTCTGAGTGGAAGAGAGAGACGTGCAGCCTCCACAGGGCCTCGTCCTGCTGCTGTTTCCTTCCTCCAGTCCTTCAGCCCATTCGATCCTGGGCACTCATAATAGAGCCAGACTAATTCTTTTAGTTGTTTTGTTTTGTTTTTAGGTTTTTGCCAGAGGGCGTGTGTGCTTGCCAGAGAGAGACTGAGAAGAAATCACCTCACCCCACAGGGGGATGTCCACGCTGCAATCTCTTCTCCTCCATTCTCTCGGGATCTTGGCCACGCACTCACATGTGCCCAGCATGAGTTTTAAGCCACCGGGTCCAGGACTTGAACCGCGGTTGACTACATGGGAGTCCAGCGACATAGCCATTACGCTAACTGCTAGTCCCTGAGCCTGATGTGATTTTCAAGCCACCAGGTCCAGAACTTGAACCAGGGTTGGCCACATGGGAGTCCAGTGCTTTAACCACCATGGCAGTTGCTGGCCCAATTCTTTTAGTATTTTTGTCTTATATAGATGACAGTTTGGTCTCAGCCCTTCAACAGTTTAATTCTAATTTCTTTTTCTTGTCCTAAGATATTGGCCAGAAGGTCCAAATGTTGCTGGTAGGCATCTCTTTCCTTGCTCTTGAATCAGTCTTGAATCACGGTACTATTGGTTTTTGGTTTATAACTTTTTTCAAGAGAGCTGTCATACTCGGGACCAGCAGTTGGTGTAATGGCTGTGTCACTGGACTTCCATGTAGTTGACTGCAGTTCAAGTCCCAGACATGGTGACTTAAACTCACGCCGAGCACTTGTGCGTGTGTACCCAAGATCCTGAGAGGAGAAGGGATTGCAGCATGGCCATCCCCTTGGGGAGTAATTTCTTTCTTTTTTTTTCTTGGAGAGGTTTTTGCTGTAGGGTGCATGTACTCGCCAGACAGACAGAGACAGAGAGACAGAAAGCGAGAAATCACCCCCCCGGTGGGGGGATGGCCACGCCGCAATCCCTTCTCCTCCACTCTCCTCTCAGAATCTTGGGCACGCACGCACATGTGCCTGGCGTGAGTTTAAGCCACTGGGTCTGGGACTCGAACCGCAGTCGACTACATGGGAGTCCAGCAACATAGCCATTACCTTACTGGCGGTCCGCGGAGAGTAATTTCTTGCTTTCTGTCTCTCTGTCTCTGTCTCTCTGGTGAGCACATGCACCCTATAGCAAAAACCTCTCCAAAAAGAAAAAAGGAAAAAAACAAAAAAAAGAGCTTTCATACTAAGTTCCTGAGCTGGTTTTTTCCCCTTAATTTTATAACTAGGAAAGTATACATACGTAGGTATGAAATTAATAACTATGTATACTTACTTTCCTAATTATATAATATTAAATTTTATACCTATAAGTAGGTATTAAATTTTATCAACTGTTTTTTCTCTATCTTTGAAGTGAAACCTGTGATTTTTGTCCCTGAAAGTGTTTTGTTATACTCATACATTCTTTTTTTTTTTTTTTTTTGAGAGGTTTTTGCTACATGGCATGTGTACTTGCCAGAGACAGAGAGAGACAGAGAGACAGAAAGCGAGCGAGAAATCAGCCCCCAGGGCGGATGGCCACGCCATAATCCCTTCTCCTCCATTCTCCTCTCAGGATCTTGGGCATGCGCATACACACACGCCCGGCATGAGTTCAAGGCTCTGGGTCCAGGACTTGAACCGCAGTCAACTGCATGGAGTTCAGCGACATAGCCATCACGCTAACTGCTGGTTCCCCTACCCTGATACATTTTCTTATGTTGAATCATTTGTACTCTCTGGTGATAAATTGATTTGACTTTATTTAGGGGTTTTGCATATATATTCATAAATGAAAAGGATGTATCATTTATTTTTGATTTTGGAATTAAAGTCATACTAGCCTCATGCATGAGCTTTGCCCTCTATTTTTCTTTCTTTCTTTCATTTTTTAAATTTTTTTTTTAGGTTTTTGCCATAGACTGCGTGTGCTTGCCAAAGAGAGACAGAGAGAGGGAAAGTGAAAAATCACCCCCCAAGATGATGACCACACCACAATCCCTTCTTCTTCATTCTTCTCTCAGGATTTTGGGCATGTATGCACGTGCACCTGGTGTGATTTTTTTTTTTTTTGAGAGGTCTTTTACTATACGGCGTGTGCACTCACCAGAAAGACAGAAAGCAAGAAATCACACACACACACCCAGGGGGGATGGCCACACCACAATCCCTTCTCCTCTATTCTCCTCTTGGGATCTTGGGCACACACACACACACGTGCTCGGCATGAGTTTAAGCCACTGGGTCTGGGACTTGAACTGTGGTCGACTACATGGGAGTCTAGCGACATAGCCATTATGCCATCTGCTGGTCCCAGACCTGGTGTGATTTTCAAGCTGCCAGGTCCAGGACTCAAACTGTGGTTGGCCATGTGGTAATGCAGCACCTTAACCACCACACTACTTCCTGGCCTCTATTTTTCTTTTTCTCCCGTTTTTTTAGAGAAAGATTTTTGCTATAGGGTGCATGCGCTTGCCAGAGACAGAGAGACAGACAGTGAGAAATCACCCCTTGTCCTCCATTCTTCTCCCAGCATCTTGGGCATGCACCCAGCGTGAGTTTTAAGTTGACAGGTCCAAGACTCAAACTGCAGTCAACTACATGGGAGTCTAGCGATGCAACCATTATGCCATCTGCTGGTCCCTCTGTTTTTCTTTTTTAAGAACAACTTGTATAAGATCATCTAGTCCTTGAAATGACTTCTGTTTTAAGAGGATGCCTTTGTGGGGCAAATTGAGTGGAGAAAACCAGTGAGGATGCCATTGGCGAAGATGGTGGGCTCCTGAGTAAACTGTGATGCGGGGAGTATGGTACTCAGAGTCCCTGCGGGACCACATTTGGAAAGCGTTCGTGGCAGAGACTAAGCTGGGTGGACATGGGGCACGACTTTAGCCATGTCTGCCAAGGACACAGTGCAAGACCGTGGACACCGTACATTTGCCCTCCCTGGGAGAGGGCCTGGAGAAGAGGAACTGGGAGAAGACGGGTGTGGAGATAAAGATCTCGAGGCAGGGCTGGGCCTGGGGATCTAAGCAGGGTGATGGTGGAGAAGGGGACTGGTTCAGGCAGGGAGGTGGGAGTGTGGACGAGCTTGCGGCCTGGGTTTAGCCCTTAGATGCAGTGTTCAGAAATGAATTTGAGGGCTGGCCCCACTGGCCTGGTGGTTAAGGGTGCCAGCTCAGCGCCATGCACTTGTGCCAAGACAGCCCTGGAGCTGTTGGAGCTCTGCTATGCCCACATACCAGCATCAGTGGCATTGAGCTGGCACCCGCTGCATCCCTAGACTGGTTGAAGGCCCAGAGGTGCTCAAAAATAAATTTGAGGGCTGGCCTCACAGGCCTAGTGGTTAAGGGAGCCAGATCTTGCATGGACAACCATGTCATTTGAGTTCAGGACCTGGTAACTTGAGAAACACACTGGGCATATGTGCATGTGTGCCCCAAATCCTGAAAGGTGAGAGAGATGGAGAAGTGATTGCGGCCATTCCTCATAAGGGGGTGCTTTCTCCTCTCCCTCTCTGTCTCTCTCTGGCAAATACATACACTAAAAAAAAAAAAAAAAAAAAAAAGAAGCACTCCAGTTATGTGTGTCTCAAGTCCTAACAGAATGGAGAGCTGGAGGAGAAGGGATGTCAGCATGACCACACTCCACTAGGGGCTACTTTCATTTTTTTTTGGAGAGGTTTTTGCTATAGGGTGCGTGCGCTCACCAGACAGACAGGGAGAGACAGATAGAAAGCGAGAAATCACCTCCCAGGGCGGATGGCCACGCCGCAATCCCTTCTCCTCCATTCTCCTCTCAGGATCTTGGGCACACACGCACACACGCCCGGCGTGAGTTTAAGCCACCGGGTCCGGGACGCGAACCGCGGTCAACTATGTGGGAGTCCAGTGACATAGCCATTACGCTAACTGCTGGTCCCAGGGGCTGCTTTCTCCCTCTCCTTTTCTCTGTCTCACTGTCTTTCTCTGACAAGTACATGCACCCTCAAAATTCTTTTTTTAAAACAGAAGAAAAAGGAGAGACAGAAATAAGGAAGGAAGGAAAGTGAAAGAAGGAAATCTGAAAGATTTTTAGATAAAATCCAGAATTTGCTTTTCTCTAGACAAAATCCAGAGTTAGCTTTTCTCGAAGACTTGCATGCTGGCCCCGTGGGCCCCGTATGTCCCATACTGACTTAGCTTGGGGGAGCCTGCCTGGCCTGGGCAGTGCAAAGACTCCTGTAAGCCCAAGTCCCCATGAAGCCCACCTCCTCCTGGTCCCTGGAAACCTTTGTGTGATTGTGACACCACTGGGATGGGGATGGAGGTGTGCATGGCAGGTAGAGGTCAGCCTTCGTTCCAGCTCTGGACTGAAGGGTAGTTTCTGGAGCACAGTGTTGAGGGCTGCAGGGTTCTCAGCAGCTGGCTGGTGGGGGCTCCAGAACACAAAGATGGAACCTAGAGTCGGGGTCACCAACTCAAGGAGGGACCAGGGAGGCTGGAAATTGCGTGTTTGCTAACTGACCCCCCACAGCCTCCGTCCCAGGGCTACGGGGCAGGGACAGTCCTGAACCTCGCTGCCCCTCAGTTGTTCAGGTGGATGGCGAGAACTCTGCTGGACAGACGGGGCTCTTCCTCGCGGCGCTGCTGGGCCGCAGCTCTGCCGTGCAGCTCCTGCTTGCTTTTGGCGCCAACCCCAACCAGTGAGTGGCAGTCAGCATTGCCCCCACACTCCCAGGGCCCTGAGTCCGCGCTCCAGAGAGTTTGGGAGCCAGGGCTGTCTTCCCCGATGCCTCTCCCACCCCCTGGTGACCTTCCTGTTCTCTGGTAATGCCTTGTCTTGTTTGATTCCCCAGAGACCATTCCCTGTCTTCTGGCACCTCCCATGATCCAAAGACCCCATTGTGTCCTTCGGCGACCCTGCCCACCTCCTATCCCCAGTGCCACTTTTTGTCCCTGCTCCTTCCTTTTTCTAACCCATTCCCACCCTCATGGTTCTGTCATAGCCGCTGCCTTGATGGCAGCACGCCGGTGCACGCAGGCGCCTTCTCCGGCCGCAGCCTGGTGATGCTGCACCTGCTGCAGGCGGGGGGCGACCTGCGTCTGCATGACCAGCAGGGCTGCACGCCAAGAGACTGGGCTGAGCAGGGTGGTGCCAAGCAGAGCTGGGAGGTGAGCAGTGGTCAGGGGCGGAGGGGAGGCGAGGGGGCCGGCACCCTCACATGGCCTTAGCCCACATATCCCCATCCAGGTGCTGGAGCTGCTCCAGCTCTGCCGCGCCCACATGTCCGCATTGGTTCATGGCGCTGAGCTGGCACCCACTGCATCCCTGGGCTGGTTGCGGGCCTGCTCCAGGCATGGTCTACGTGGCTCCCTGTCCCCACTGGGGCTGGTGCAGGCAGACAGGTAACCACATCCCAAAGTCCACCCCCCACCACACTCAGCTCCCCCAGACTTACCCTCTGCCTGCTCTTTATGCCAGGACACTGAGGTCAGAACAGATCAGGAGCTCCCCCCAGATCCCAGTCTTGGGGTTTGGCCAGGTAAGCAAGAGAGGCTGGGGGAGTGGGAACCTCCTGTCCTCTTTGTGCCTCATGGTCCTTCTCCCCATCCCCAGCTGAGCAGCCTGTGGCCACTGGGGCTGGTGATGGGCATCCCCCTTGCAGACCCCAAGGAGCTGCTGCCAGCCCAGGGCGAACCCGACCGTGCGTATGAGAGCAGTTCCCACACCCGCATGGCCAAGTGAGAGCCCTGATGTCCCTGGAGAGCCTCCTGCCTGGCCACCCAGTCTAGCTCTCCTGCTCCCCTACAAGGAAAGGCTGTTGTCTCAGACCTGCACTGTCTCTGCTCTCCACTCTCCAGCCTCCTGTGGAGGGGCCACCCCGTGACTGTTCGGCAGCTGAAGGCCCCTAGAACCCAGCCTGATGTGCTGTTGGCTGATCTTCAGCACTGCAGGTACCCCAGCCCAGTCTGACCCTAAGACCAGGCCCCTGCCTGCCCTCCCGACTCAGGTATTTCATCATCAGAAGGCTAGGACTGGGACCAGCAGTTGACGTAATGGCTATGTCGCCCATATAGTCGACCACGGTTTGAGTCCTGGACCCAGTGTCTTAAAATCATGCCAGGCACGTGTGCTTGCGTGCCCAAAATCCTGAGAAGAGAAGGGATTGCAGCGTGGCCATCCTCCCTGGGGGGTGATTTGTCTTAAACTCATGCCAGGCATGTGTGCTTGCGTGCCCAAAATCCTGAGAAGAGAAGGGATTGCAGCGTGGCCATCCTCCCTGGGGGGTGATTTCTCATTTTCTGTCTCGCTTGTCTCTCTCTTTCTGGCGAGCACATGCGCCCTATAGCCTTCGCTCCTGGGTCAGCCCTTGGCACAGGGCTGTCCTGCAGGAGTGATCCCCTCCCCCCAGGGAAGTAGGTGCACAGTTCTATGCACAGCGTCCTGCAGGCCCCAGAGAGGAGCCAGGCATGGGGACAGGCACCACGGATGGGGTAGGAACTGGGCCCTACCACTGTTGGGGGCTGTGTGGCCCATGGCAGGTGCAGATTGTCTGGCCCTGGCATGTGGCAGGTGGTCTGTGCCCAGGAGCTGCCCCATACGGGTCAGGGCCCACTCCTGAGTGTCCTCCTCCCACCAGCACCCTGCTCCACCCCAGCCTGTGGCTGCTGATGGCACTGAGCCCCTCGGCGGATCTGTCAGGACTGTCCCTTCTCTTCGAGCCTGTGTGGCTGGGCTCCCTGTATGTGGTGCTGCACCTGCAGGGACCTGGTGAGGAGGGGCCACAGACTATGGCAGGCCTGCTGCCCAGCCACCTGCTGGGGGGGGCCCTGTTGTCCCGGCGCCCCCGCCGGCGTGTCCACGGCGGCCTCAGCTCACACGCTGTGCAGCTGGTGCGGCCAGGCCTGGCCAAG